TATATATATATATATATATATATATGCAGCACCAGTATGCATAACAAGCATCAGCCTGTGGAGTAGCTTAATCTTTCACAAATTATAGAAAGCAAATGTGATCAAAGCAACTGTCAAAATCATATGGAAACCGGAAGATGTGAGACTTGTGAAATTTGATGCTACCTGGTTAGGAGTTCAACCGCAACAGAACCATAACCCATCTGCAACACCACAGTGAGACATGGTTAGACATGCTGATAAAGTAAGGAATAAAATGATCGAAAATTATCAAAAACCTCCCTCCATGTCTGCTTTTAAACACAAACTATGCAGACCTTATTTCAATGAGATGGGTTAAGATGACAAGACTTCTGTCATATTCCAAATCTATCTATATGCAGCTTTAATTATCAGTGATAAATTTTGTATGGCAAACAAATCTCCCCTTAAAACTCTTTTTATACTACAAAATTGGTGTGAAACCTTCACTAATCTCTTCAACAATAACAAAATGTAAAACAATCTTCCTCCTGATAGAATAAATCAACTAATAATGACGATGGGTTAAGCAGACCGAGAAGAACTTCTGTATTTGGTCACCAATAAACATTTTGTTGCTCAGTGATTTTGAGCGTGAAGCAAAACAAAAAAAAAAAGCGACAAGGGGTTGTTTCGCTTAAAGCGTGAAGCGAAGCAGTAGCTTCATTGAAGTGAAGTGCAATAAAAAAGTATATCAAAATAAACCTTAGAGCACATGAAAAAACACAGAGAGAAAAAGAAAAATAAATAAATAAATAAAATTCAATTAAATTAACAAACTAAAAAAAGAAATAGAATAATTTAAAAATTCAATTAGATTAACAAAGTGAAAAAAAAGAGAGAAGACAAATAAATAAATTCAATTAAATTAACAAACTAAAAAAAGAAATAGAATAATTTAAAAATTCAATTAGATTAACAAAGTGAAAAAAAAGAGAGAAGACAAATAAATAAATTCAATTAAATTAACAAACTGAAAAAGAAGAAATAGAACCATCTAAAGAATTCAATTAAATTAACAAACTGAAAAAGAAGAAATAGAACCATCTAAAGAATTCAATTAAATTAACAAAGTAAAACAAAAAGACAAACAAATAAATAAAAGAAGAAGAAATTATTCTATTCCTTTTCTCTGTAAAAAAAGTAAAAAGTCCACCTTCTTAAAAAAAATCCACCTTTTTAAAATAAAAAATAAAAAATGCACGCCTCCCTCGCTGAAGTAGCTGCACACGCTTCATGCTTCAGTGGACGAAGCGCTCGCTTCATTAAAACCACTTCGCCTCAGTCATCTGAAGCGGACTACCCTTTGCTTTACCGCTTCAACGCTTCCTCCAACACTGTTATTGCCTTCTTAAGGTTTTTGTTTAAGTACTATAATTATACTGTAATCTATTCTTTAGGATGTAATGTTATGGCTCTATTGGTTTTACACATGTAAGTGAATTTAACTTTTTTAGGTTTAAATTGGTTACATTTGACAAATACAACAGTATATGCAATTTTAATAGAAGTACCCCTGCCATATTATCAAGTGCATGAAGAATGGTAATTAAAAATTAGTAAAAAATATAGCATGAAATTCTTGAAGTTGAAAGTTTTATTCTCTTTTCCTAGGTCTCTTCTTCCAATATCAAACTATTTGTCTTTTAATGCGAAACAAGGAGGTTCCCTAACATCTTAAACCACGAAGGAGATCAATATGACAAAGATAAACCTAGAGGGAAGTCTCAGAAGTTTTTCATAATTTTTTGAATTGGTAAGCATTACCCTCATGGCATTCGGATGTGTAGCAATGCGTACGATGCGGGCACCTGAAAGGCTTGGGAATACGTCATCAGCAAACTGCTGGGAGAACTTCCAAGGTATCTGATCTCCAAAGGGCTGGTGACCTTCCCTTAGAGCTCTTTTAGCCGACTCTTGGGTGATTTGCCCCTCCAGGCAGACCTGTGTGTTTAAGTCAAATTAAGACATAGATCAAAAACTCTTAGTGCTGCTTCTTTGATTCCAAGAAACTGTTAAGTTGAAATAAATACCACCTGTTTAATTCTCAGAAGAACTAAATTGAACCAGAAAAAAAAAGCACGAAGAAAAAGTAATCTATATCAAGTAAATCTTCAAAGTTCGTGTCTCTAACAAATAAGGCTTATGATATCATGAGAGATAAACACAGACAATGTCATTGTTCGAGGCCAACGAGTACTGTCCTTATCAGAAAGGACTTAAGAAATCAACCTTACATGATTGACTTATCAAACAAGACCCCTAACCTGGATGACACACAGAATATCAGGAAGACGATTTTCTGATTCATCAACAGAACCTGTGAAAACAATAGTTAGGCGCTCTTGCATTTACTTAATGCGCAATTAATCTATTATGTTCTATTGAAAAAGCATCAACTGGTTTTAATCATACCAAGTAGCACAAACAAGTGGTGAGCTGGAGCATCAGCCATCAATTGTAAATCATTTGGAGAATTTTTGTAATGCGAAGCAACATAGAGGGCCATCATTCGCTGCAAATGTTTCAATGCAAAAGGATCACAATATATCAAAGTTGACCAAGCAAAAATCAGCCTAACTGTAAACAATACATTACTTCAAGAGGAAAGGTGATTTACCTGCAGAAATAACTCACTATCTTTATGATAAGAGAAAAGTGTGTCCCGGTTAACGTAGTAGAGATCACAATCACCCGGTTGTGGTAACCTGGTGAAAATAGGAGAATTGTAACTGGAGATAAAGCATGGTTGACTTCTGTAGGAACTAGGTTAAGCCAAAGATGTTTTACCTTCTGATACTTGGGATAGTATTTGTAACATCCAAACAGAGCAAAGCATTAAGCCATCGTTCAATGCGATCGCCAGATGCATATCTAATGGATTCACTCAATTCTATCTTTTTAAAAAGCCGACCTACATTTGAGGGGAAAACTTAGAGTTTAAACAACTAGACGAAAGAAACAAGATTTTGCACAGACCTTTGACAGTTGATCATACCACTACTTCAAACATGGATAATCATGAGAGGCAAAAGTACATCATAGAAAAAGAGTGACACTTATGAATGAACAAAGCCCTGAGAGAAAGCAATATATTTTTAAAGACAAGAGCGTATTGTCAGCATTTAATTAAATTGGAACGTCCAGTCATAGGAAACTTTCCATCATTTAAATTCACAGGTGGACCTGCAAGAACATTGGAGTTGGAATATTTTAAAAGCATGTATTATAATTATATACTTTGAATAACTCCAGCTTTATTCACCAAAATACTTGGTTTTAGTTGCAAACATTCAGTCATAGACCTGCATTGCCCAAGGCACAATTTAAGGCATGAATTAAGATAAGAAAGACTATGTTATTTAACAAAAACAGGCACAATTCCAGATGTATCTCCTGGCCTTTAGTAACTATAAGGAGTTCCGAACCCAATAGCACTGCTCTCTCATCTCAGTTTTCTTTGCTTACCTAGTTCCTCCTGATACCATTATTTCAGGCCACATGGACTCTACGCACCATAAGTCGAGTGATGACTAGCAAAACTGGAGCTGAAATACCTGAAAGTGCATTGTCTGCACTTTTGGACTTCTGACTTTGTTCCTCTAGTTGCTGCAGCAACTTCAATGATAAGGATCTTCCAGTACCTTCATAGCTTTTAAAAAGATAACAGGAATAGATTCATCATCAGCGCCGTTAACCCCAGGGTAAACACACAGGACTGTCAGAAATATTCTTCTGCCGTATAAGTGAGTAAAAAACAAAACTACAAGAAGAAACATATATTGGTAAAGGAGGTTCTTTGGTGTAAGAAACAAAACTACAAGAAGCAACATATATTGGCAAAGGAGGTTCTTTGGAGAGCATAACATTACTAGAAGGAAACTAAGCAGAACACTGCCTCATACCCGTTCACAGTTGATGCAAGGAAGACGAGGTATGGACCAAGCAAAGATCTGACAACAGGTAATGGAATAGCTGCTGCTTCATCAACCACCAACAATTCCACTTGTGATAGCTTTTCATGCTCATGTGGTAGTATATACTGGCATTGCATAAATGATGCAGAGAATATCAGAAACTCAGACAAAAGGAAAATTAATTGCATTACACATGATAAAGTACATCAATGATCGGATACTTGCAAAAACGCTTTGCAAATAATGAACAATACGGGTGTAAAAGATACATATGTTTGTAAGAATAGGAAAAATAATAGTTTAGTAATACCAATATATTGACAACCTTAAGAGAACACAGTAGCACAAGAGAGAAATACAAGAAATCTAGCCAGCATACAGAAATCACCACCAAGAGGAATTAAATTAGAGCAAGCTTTCAAAATGCCATCTAATGTTCAGGGACAACAGAAGGTGCAGAAAGTGATATCAGATTCCAGGATTATTCCCGCACGAATGAGCTTGGGAAATGGAAGAGCCATTATCATGATATAACTCTTCCCCAATATTACTGACCTGAATTGTTTGTCTGTGCTGCTTATAGATGTTGATCCTCACGATAGATTTTTTAAACTCCGGATTATTGCTTATCACAATATCATAATCAAGGTGTTCCTGTAAAATAAGCATATAGTAAGTTACAACATCTCTATATACCATCAGCAGAATGTGAAATCAATCACAGATACCAACTATATGTGAGACAGGGAAAAATCCCTTACACGAGAACTTTAAGAAAATCTTATACCATGTTTATGTTTTTACGCATATTTCAGTAGGGGAAGCATTTTCTCACTTAAAAGGACTTGAAGGGCCAAATGGCTGACTCGAAAGGAAAAATAACATCCCTGGAAAAGATAGATTTCATAGAGACTGAAAATCGACCCTGCTCAAACAGATATATCTGCCTCTTACCTTGTACTCGAGCATGGCGAAACCCTTGCAGACAAAGTCAAACAGAGTTTTCAGATTTTCAGGACTAGGCGCTGTTACATAAATATTGGAATACCTGAAATAGCGAACTATAGAAGTTAGTAAAGCACAAAGTAGGATCACAGAGGAACCCAAGGGTGTAGCTTAGTGGCCAATGAAATGGGCGGAGAACCATGAGATCTCAGGTTCAAACCCCAGTAGAGACAAAAAATACTAGGTTACTTCTTCCCATCTGTCTAAGCCTTGAGGGACAGAGTTGCCCGGTACCTGTTGCGGGTGGGGGTAGCAGGTATCTGGTGTATTTAATCGAGGTCCGCGCAAGCTAGCCCGGACACCACCGTTATCCAATAAAAAGGTAGGATCACAGAGAGGAATGAATATTGAAACCAAAACCAGATTTACCCTGCAGCAACAGCCCCTGCAATTGCCAACCCAAGAGCAGCTGACTTCCCCCGGCCACGAGCAGCAAGCAGAGCAACAGTACTTCGGAGCGTCTTATCCAGGATAGCGTCAAGAAATGTGATCACTGCTTTTCCCTATTTCATACTGTTTGATTAATAGCACCTTACAGTAATAGGACAAAAAAGTTTAAATTGCGGTGGACAGACAACTGCTATTTATGTTGAACTCGGTATTACAAAGTTAGATATTGAATCCATCCATTTAAGCTAGTAAAAATGGTTCTTTCAAAAATTTACTAAACAATTAGAAAAGACTTAAAGATTTATTTAATGAAAGCATGGAAGAACAAGAAGTCATTTTTTATGAAAGGGAAATGTAGGAACTCCAACAGATAATAATTGACGCAAGGAGGACTTAACATGCTAATAAAATTACTAACTTCAAGATTCAAAGCCCACAAAGCGATATTTCTTTATCAGCAAGTCATATTCTTTTACTTAGTGAGTGAAGCTCTGTTCTATTTATCAAAAGTCGTGAAGCTTTATTTTATGAGCGATTGGCCCAACCGAACTGCATGATTCTACAACAAAAGGATTTGCACAATTCAACCAGCGGCTTCTTTAGTCTGCATTCATTATCAACACTTTGGATGGAGAAATCTACTTTTGGTGATTTCATCAAAAATTAAGAAAAAATCATATTAGATCTTTTAAGTGCTGACAACTCTCACAATTTTGACTTGTTGACAGTTAATTTTCAATCCAAAAAAGTAGGAAAAGAATTATTCAAACAGAGAAGGAAAAAAACCGGTACAAGCACCAATAATGATTAAGCTTTAAATCAACAAGCTCAAAGTTTTGGACAAGTTCTTATGTATGGTTGTACTTACTACAGCACCCACTTTTTTTTTTAATAAGGTAAATAATTTTATTAACAATTGGGGTGAACCCTGTATACAAGCCATATACCAAAAGAAGAGAACCTATACCAAAATATGGTTCTCCACAAAAGAGGCCCAATCCTCTATACAAACCGGAACCTCATGATTACACCAAAAATAAACGAGAAACAAAAGACTATATTGCAATTTTCTAAAATCTTGTTCCACCTCTTCAAATGACCTCCTATTCCTCTCTCCCCAAATAACCCACATGATTGCTAAGGGGGCAACGCTCCATGACCTAGGGTTCCTACTCCCCCTCATGCGAACCCAAATATGCAACGCCTCCTTCACTGCGCCTGCCATCACCCATAGTATCCCAAACAAGTAATGACCAACTTCCACAACCGATTAGCCACTTGACAATGCAATAAGAGATCACCTACATCTTCGCCCAAGCTCTTGCGCATGAAACACCAAATAACATGAATAATCCTCCCCTTAGATTTTCTACTGTCAAAATCAAACCCCTTGCTGCAAACCACACGAAGAAACACACCATTCTAGGTGCTTTGGGAATCCCAATAGAGCGAAGAGGAAAAATATGCTCCTCCCTCTCTCTCTCTCTCTAGCAGCCTCTTATAAAAAGATTTATCAGAGAAAATACCCTCCCTACCCTCTCGACACCTCCACATATCGGATATATTATTTGACGAATCCCACCCATACAATAACTCGATCAAGTTGTGGAACTCTTCTATCTCCCAATGTTGTAGGTTCCTCCGAAATCTCAAATCCCAAAGAACTATCCCCTTATGCTATCTATTTTTTTTTAAAAAATCCTCCTATTAACTGCGTATTGTCTGATTACTTAGTGATCCTAGTTACCAGTGGTTGCAACCAATCCAACATTACGCCACAAAAGAAAAGGACAAAGTGTCCACCGTAAATGTAAATTTTACCAATTATCAAGTCATTATCTCCTGTTAATCTTGTGTTCTATACAACCTTATCAAGAAAATAAAATCTTGTGTTCTATACAATAACTCAGTTAAACATCTACCTTGCATGCAAGTAACTCTTATCCTGGGGTTAGTTCCACATAGTCTAGTAAATGGCTACGAATGACATATTCAGAGAACAATTGAAAAAACAAATGCCAACTTTTACAGTTCAAGTAACTAACCTGGTCCAAGGTACAGCATTTACGAATAAGAGGACCAACAGGGAAGTCTTCATTCAATTGTTCTTTTAAATTCCTTAATTCCCTTTCTGCTTCTGAAAGCCCCTCAGAATCCTTTATCAAAGAAAGAATCATGAATGCTTATATCAAGAGATTATCAAAGATAGTTACCTTGTACTAAAAGTGACTCCGGAAATAGTAATTCTTTCACAGTTCAACATCTGATATGGTGTAATTATATATGAGAACTATAATTTATATGGACTATCATCTAAATCAATGCCTATCATCTAAGATATAGAAAACAGTAAATAGTACGGACCGAACCGATCCAGGAAGAACTTTACCTCTTGAATTGGAACAGCAGTAATATTCTTCATGTGGAAGGAGATTGGTAGAGTTTGTAATTCATCATTCATGACAATACATGTTTCACATGATGCAATAGAGAGTATAAAACGCTCATTAAAGCGAGGGGTAGCGTGTGCATGGGATTCCGTACGAAATCTGTTGTGAACATCCTGCATTTTCACAAAACTACAGTGAGTCTTACGATTAAGCACGCATTGAAAACCAATTAGCAATCTGCAAGCCAGTAGTAGCTTCTTCATTCAAATACTCTTCTTCTTGTGTGTGTGTGTGTGTGTGAGATCAGTTGAAATCTTATTTTACAATAAAGAGCAAGAAAAAAACAAATAAGAAGTAAAAAGGGAAGGGACATCATGAATCTACTACTTATTCAAAGTTTTCCGGCCTAGAAAGCAGAGCAGTTGGGACTGGAGTGTACCATGGCCATGGCGTAGAGGCTCTTAAGAGAGGACAAAGTGCGAATCAACAATAAAATTAGCCCACCACCTTCAACTGTCTCTATTGTTCTCGCAAGAAGATTGGGTGTCAAAACCTCGAAATCCTAGAACATCATAGAGGAAAAGAAATGAAATATTCCAAAAGATCATGATTACATTTACATAGAGGCTTAAAAGAGGAAATAGGAAGTCGATTTGCTGCAAATAGTTCATGGAGATTTAAAACCTCTCATTTACCTGTAGTACACACATGCCATAAGTGTTTCCTAGAATTCTTTCTGAATCTCTATACAAGCAATAGCTGACGCCTCCAGTTTCAATGAAAAGTTCAAAAGGTTCTACTTTTTCAGGGTCCAGTAGTCCCCTCTGCATATATTTTTTTCACTTGCTTCTTTCTCTTCTGCTTGTGACTGCAAAAAGACGATTGCCTCTATCACTGACAAACTGTCTAAATGACAAATAACATCCACTGGCAAACTGAGATGAACGCAGTGAGAAAAAAACACAGAACAAAGTCCTCACTAATCACTTGCAAGATAATCAACCCAATATAACAACCTCCACAAAAGAATGACCCTAGCATTCCTTCCAGTGCCTGAAAATTTGCCAGTAAATTTACTCCAGATATAAAGCTGAAACTAACTTTTCATGCAACAAATAGAGTGACTAAAGTTTCAAGACAACGACTACGCCTCAATCCAAACAAGTTGGGGTCAACTATATGAATCGTCACTGACAATGTTACTCCATATAAACTCATGGCAGGGCAATATTATCCAAAATAACAATAATAATAATAATAATAATAATAATAATAATAATAATAAAAAGTACTAGAATGCATTATATTGACATATAAATCTCTGAAAGGCTAAACAACTCCAATAAAAGCATAGGATGCAGTGACTAAAGTTCCAATATTTAATAATAATATTCCCTAACATCAAACTTCGACTATGCAGAATAACTGCTACAACAAAGTCAAGAATTTTGGTCAAGCAGCTCCATAGATTTTTCACAGTTTCTTAATGTCAAATAAAATCCATGGCAGTTTATACAAATTACAAATTTTAATCTATGCCTCTCTGACTTATTAAAGGCAGGAGGTAAGGTCTGCGTGCACACTAGCCTCCCCAGACCACACTTGTGGGATTGTTTTAATCTAACTTCCATATAGAATTAACAAATTCACATTTTAATAAAGGCAAAAATTAACAAAAACGACTATATCCATAATTAAAAAAAAAAATCGGAATAAGTAGAGAACCAACCTACTAAGTTCAAGTTTGTCCTTATAGCACCAAAGCACAGTAGGCCGTGACCTCACTAGAGCTTTACTCAACATGTAGTGCAAATTAACAATCTGTTATATAAAAAAGTGAAGAATCAGAATCAAGTTCAAATTTTTAACAACATTTACGCAGATAAAAAGGAGGAACGAAAAGTGCATGCCTGGTCACGGGATTTGTCACCAATCATGACAAACATAGAACGGTGACGATTTCTAACCCCATTCTCTATTAGGGTTCTAATGTGTTCATCCACTCTAATCCTCATTGTTTTCTACTAAGGGTTTTCTTTGTTTTCTACTAAGGGTTTTCTTCTAGCTCAACTGCTAGTAATATCTTTTAGGACTGCTATGTTTCTGTCTGCGGTTGGTATATTTATACATTTCCCTTGCCTATTTTCGGTATTTAATTACTTAAAATTCTATAACTTTGATTTGTTAGGTTGGAATATTAAATAGTGCATAAAGCCATGACCAAGTAAGATACTCATAAATATGAAAATAAAATATTATAATATAATTTTATTTTTTTAAAAGCTAGAAATCAAAAATACTAAACCTAAACGAAAAAAAAAAAGTTGAAGCATAAGTAGGCAATTAAAAAAAAGGGAAAAAGACAAGTATAGTGGAAAAAAGGTGGTAAAGGTTAAAGAAAAAAATAATGGAAAGTAAAATTTAGAACTTTAATAGTTATATTATAATTAATAATATGTGTGTTATGTAACTTAGTATATATTTCAGTACGGTATTGGTATTTCGGTATTTTATTTTTAAATACAGAAAATACCAATTTTTTTAATAAAAATATACCAAATACTATATCATATATTAAAATATCGAATACCAAATATTAAAATTTTTGATTTCGATACGATAATTCGATATTTAGCAAATTATGTACAGTCGGATCTATGCTGGTCTACGTTCTTGTACTAGGGTTTAACGAGGATTTATGTGAATATAAGAACGTTCGAATTACAATTTTGTATTTAAGTTTAGGCAACACTGTAATTTTCACCGTAGTGTTTATTAGTTTATATAGGATAACAATTATTGTCATCCCTCAAGTTCCCCTTAAAAATCAAAAAACCTCCCACAAAATTGAATGTTGACATTTTTATTCTCCAATCTCAATTTCCGCTATTCGCAAAGCCTTAAAATAGTTCATCTAGTAATAAATGGGTCAAAATATTATTTAATAATTTTATTTAATAGGATGCTTTAATTAAGCATTCACAATTTCTTATAATCCTTCTTCCGTTAGTTAATATTTTTAATTCATGTCTTCTTTTTCTTTGTGGTGATATTATCAAGATCATATGTTGCTTGCATAGTTGTTTCCTTTATAGAGAGCTAGCAAAATGGGATTAATATCTATTATTTTCAACACTTACACTTTTTAAATTTTTAAATCACGCTTTATAACTCATAAACGTTGTTTAATAATAGTTTATGTAGTTAAAAACTATGTATTTGCTGAAATGGGCACACATGTAAAGGCGTACCTCAAGACTAATATATATATATATATATATATATATACAATATTGGTTTACAAAAATAACATTATAATATTAAGTATAATAACTCATAATGAAAGGACATAACAGAAATTCTAGACATTAGCCTTATAATCATATTAGTTTTAGGACATAATACTACACGTTAGTAATCCTACATGACAAGATTCCAATGCAATATTTACAAGTACAATGTTAGTGGACCAAAATATCCTTAAGATATCTTTCGATAAATAACTCTATGTTGGATAAAATTGTCAAAAGTTAAAATCTTAGAATTTGAAATTAACTAAAATTTAAAGTCTAAAATAAAGTGTGGTTGGGGAATCATCGTTTGCACAGGAAATTGTTATCCCCACAAACTCTTCAAGATACCCAAATATAGAAAGTATATAATTATTTTCGGGCTTACACATATAATATTACGTGTTAGCATATAAACTTAATATCTTTAGTAACATGTTACATTTTCTATTAGTATAATTACTTTCGAGATAGAGACATATTTTAAGTTGTGTAATCCTTTTACTTTTAGGATATACTTCTTAAAAATTTATATTACTAATTTAATTTGAAAATAGCGTATTGTCCTATTAGTAATTTAATTTGAGAATGTATTATATTGTCCAGATCCGTTTAAAAAAAGGAGAGCCTATATTATTATAAAAGCATGAATACAATATTGATAGATCAAAATAGACCTAAACATTAAATAGAAAAACTCATAGGGACATGACTAACTATAATAGCCTATATTTTGGACTAAATACCTTCTATGTTAATTGTTTTTAATATTTAAGATTCTGATATTAATAACTTTTTATCTATTAAATTCTTGTTAAAAATATGTAGGAAGGTTTATTAAAATTAATTTCAGTAGAACCCTCCGTATTAGCAATATATTACCACTCCATAGTGTCCAAACCAAGAAAAAATAAAAATAATATTAAATAGACTGCATAAACCGTTGAAATTGAGAAAAAAAAATATATCCCTATGATAATATATTTTTATATTATATTTGAACAACTTTCCTATTCAAATAATATTTTTTAAATTAATTTTTTATGTAATATTAAAAAATATACCCAATTATTAATGAACAAGTAAGAAAATATTTAAGAATATAAATGTGTGACAAAGAGAAAGGAAAAAGTTTGGTAAGAGTCAATACCACCAATGATTCTGTAAGCATAAAGATCTAAAAGTGGAATGTCGTATCGATCTTTTTACTCTTTAAAAATAAAAATTTTGTTGGATAAAATTATATTACGATTAAATATTCAAAACAAGAGATGAAATAATATTACGAATCTGAATCAACATAAAATAAATTATTTTTTGTTAAGACCAAATAATTAAATCTTTCAATTAATTATTTAGCAAGAGAATCCAATTCAATTATTTTTTAAATTCATCATATGGGTAAAATTATTTTTCTAAGTTAAAACAAAATCTTAGGGTAAAAAAGGTTAGAGATTAAAAAAATTAGAACACAAAGTAAAAAGGGTTAGAATAATATTAAGAATCAAAGGGTCATACAAGTGTAGAAGCACAATCAAAGCTAAATTCTGAACATGAATAAGTTTTTCTAAAACTTAACTTAAATTCTTAAAATTTGTAAAATTAGAAAAGATTAATATAATTTGTAGAGACATCCTCAATATATAGACTTGTGGCCTATATTTTTTCAATCACCAAACTTTGAAAATCACATAATCAATCCGTTAAATAAATCAAATAGAAGATTTAGGGTGTGTTTGGTACGAAGGAAAATGTTTTCATGGAAAATAAGTGGTTTTATCACGTATTTTTTCTTGTTTGGTTGGTGAATGAAAACTTTTCCGGAAAAATATTTTTAGTGTTTGGTTAGAGAGTAGAAAATATTTTTTAGGAAAATAATTTTTTATGATATTCTCCTCCCTCCTCCTCCTTCCCCTCCCCCTCCCCCTCCCCCATTCCCCCAAGTCCCTATGTTTTATGTGGTCTCCCCTCCCGCTCTCCCCCCATTCCCGCAAGTCCATATGTTTTATGTGATCTCCCCTCCCCCTTCCCCTAAATACCCAACATTTTCATGAATTTTCTTCAAAATTTAATTATCTATACTATATTAAAAGCACGAACGCTCTTAGCGAAATATCGTCGCCTTTTTTACCCCCTAAAAATAAATTTTATACTAGACAAAATTATCATTTAAATTATTTTCCTAATATTTAAGTGTTTGAAATTAACTAAACTTTTAATTATTAAATCTTTCCTTATTTGAACTATAAAGTCATAACATCAAATTTAATTGCACTTTTCACAACATTTATATTCGGCAGTATCTTAGTTGTCCTAAACACATTCTCTTTTTTGCTTTTTCTTTCAATATCCTTAAGAATTAGAATATTCCATTAAATAAACATTTTTTAACAATCATTTTTACAAACAATTTTCACTTTTCCAATTGAATCTGGGCACCAATGCAGATTCTATCTTCTCATTTATCTATATTACATTAAAAGCATGAAGGCCATTAACGAAATGTTATTCGTCTTTTTTATCCTTTAAAAATATATTTCATACTAGACAAAATAGTCATTTAAATATTTTTCTATTATTTAGGAATAGCTATTGCATTATTTTCTTAATATTTAGTCATTTAAATCTACTAAATTTTGTGTATTGAATATTTTAAAGAAAGATAATAACAGTTTTAACCGAGTAAGTCTTTCTAGATATTTTAGGTTACTAAAGTTTAGGGCTCTTTAAATAGGGAAAAATATTGAAACTGAGGTATAAGTTGATACGGTAATTACTTGTATAGACATCATGTAATGAGTATACATTTATAGGTTGAATACAACGTCCTAAATATTTTAGGTCAAAATTTTGATAACTTTTTAACTCCTTTTCGGTCTAGGAGTATTATTTTTTAAGTTGTTGATTTAGTTGCATAATTGCGTTAACCAACCACTATTCTTTTGAAGGATTTCCCCTCTGGTCATATTCCAATTAGCCTAGGTACTTCATTTGTTCCTCAAATCTTCTCCGTTTATGTACATTTAGTTTGTTTTGAGTTTTTTTGTGAGTTTTTGCGTTTGATTTTAGAAATAATGTATGATAATTTAATTTATTGTATCTTGAAAACAAACTAATTATGTTCTTTTGTGTACAAACAGATTTTTATTATTTGTCCATACAAGAAAGGTGGTAGAATATTGGATAACTAGGTGGTTGTGATATGAAGAATATGTATTCAGAGGAGTTAGATGATTATTTTCTATTAGACATGAATATCAATCTGATATCCCTAAAGCTCCATTCATAGCCAGCATGCGTGTATATAGAAAAATCTTTTTTTTAAACTTTATTTCAAGTTCCTTTTTTATGCGTTTCTTGCGTGTTATCCGGTTATGTTCGTTATTTAGGTAGACAAAATATCTTACCGTTTCTTTCACTGGAACTTTATTTGGATAATCAATATGAATTTTAAATTGCTAATTCTATCTTTATGTGTATTTTCATGAGAGTGATGATAGGTCGGAAACCATTATGGATAGCAAGAAAAATTATAGAGCAGTAAATCTCTCTAATTGATCTAATTTCTTTCATATATTTTTTACTTTTTATCTCTGCATTCGTTAGGGGTGTCAATGGTTCGATTCAGCCGATTATTTTATAAAATTTGTATCATATAAATTTTTCGGTTATTCTATTATGTATAATCAAATTAGACTTTTCGAAACCGTCACAATCATATCGGTTTCTCTTCGGTATCGGTACGGTTCAGTTAATTTTCGGTATTTTTTTAAATATCATATAAAATTTACC